CCAACAGCGTGTTGCAGTAATCCAGAAGCGAGATGACAAGTGCCTGGATTAGGACCTGTGCCGCTTCCTGTGTAAGGTAGGGTCGTACTCTACGAATGTTGTAGAGCATGAACCTACAGGATCGGGTCACCGCTTTGATGTTAGCGGAGAACGACAGGGTGTGGTCCAGGGTCACGCCAAGGTTCTTTGCACTCTGGGAGGAGGACACAACAGAGTTGTCAACCGTGATGGCGAGATCATGGAGCAGGCAGTCCTTCCCCGGGAGGAAGAGCAGCTCCGTCTTGCCGAGATTCAGCTTGAGGTGGTGATCTGTCATCCACACTGATATGTCTGCCAGACATGCAGAGATGCGATTTGCCACCTGGTTATAAGAAGGGGGAAAGGAGAAGATTAATTGTGTGTCGTCTGCGTAGCAATGATTGGAGAGACCATGTGAGGATATGACAGAGCCAAGTGACTTGGTGTATAGAGAGAATAGGAGAGGGCCTAGAACTGAGCCCTGGGGGACACCAGTCGTGAGAGCATGTGGTGCGGAGACAGATTCTCGCCACGCCACCTGGTAGGAGCGACCTGTGAGGTAGGACGCAATCCAAGAGTGAGCTGCGTCGGAGTTGCCCAACTCGGAGAGGATGGAGAGGAGGATCTGATGGTTCACAGTATCAAAGGCAGCAGATAGGTCTAGAAGGATGAGAGCAGAGGAGAGAGAATTAGCTTTAGCAGTGCGGAGAGCCTCCGTGACACAGAGAAGAGCAGTCTCAGTTGAATGACCAGACTTGAAACCTGACTGAAGGTCAAGAATATCATTCTGAGAGAGATAGCAAGAGAGTTGGCTAAAGACGGCACGCTCAAGAGTTTTGGAGAGAAAAGAAAGAAGGGATACTGGTCTGTAGTTGTTGACATCGGAGGGATCGAGTGTAGGTTTTTTGAGAAGGGGTGCAACTCTCGCTCTCTTGAAGACGGAAGGGACATAGCCAGTGGTCAAGGATGAGTTGATGAGCGAGGTGAGGTAAGGGAGAATGTCTCCGGAAATGGTCTGGAGAAGAGAGGAGGGGATAGGGTCAAGCGGGCAGGTTGTCGGGCGGCCGGCCGTCACAAGTCGCAAGATTTCATCTGGAGAGAGAGGGGAGAAAGAAGTCAAAGCATAGGGTAGGGCAGTGTGAGCAGGACCAGCGGTGTCATTTGACTTAATAAATGAGGATCGGATGTCGTCAACCTTCTTTTCAAAATGGTTGACGAAGTCATCCACAAAGAAGGAGGAGGGAGGGGGAGGAGGAGGAGGATTCAGCAATATAATCCTATAGTTCTCTATAGTTATGTACTTGAAAATGTATCAATTGACCAATTTGGCACATTTGGGCAGACTTGATACAAAATAGTCCAGTATTGCAAAGCTTCACTGGATCAATCTGCATCTTTGCACACACACTGCTTCCATCTAGTGGCCAAAATCTACATTGCGCATAAACTGCAATATTATATTGTGGCCTTTCTATTGCATTTCAAAGATGATGGAACAAAATAAATAATAGAAAACGCATGTTTTTTTGTTTGCATTATCTTTTACCAGATCTAATGTGTTATATTTTCCTACATTAATTTCACATTTCCACAAACTTCAAAGTGTTTCCTTTCAAATGGTATCAATAATATGCATATCCTTGCTTCAGGTCCTGAGCGACAGGCAGTTAGATTTGGTATGTCATTTTAGGCGAAAAGTGAAAAAAAGGATCCGATCCTTAAGAGGTTTTAAGAGGTAAATACTTTGATAGACTATGATAGGGAAGTTATAAAACATAATGTTTTTTTTACAGCAGAAGACTGAAGTCTAGTATAATGTCAAAAGCAAATCTCATCCTCATACCAAACTGAGCAAAAATATGAATGCAACATGCAACAATTTCAAAATTACAGTTTATATAAGGAAATCAGTCAATTGAAATACATTAATTAGGCCCAAACTATGGATTTCACATGACTGGGAATACAGATATGCATCTGTTGGTCACAGATACCTGGTGGACATTACTGCAGTCAGCACGCCAATTGCACACTCCCTCAAAACGTGAGCTATCTGTGGCATTGTTGTGTGTGACAAAACTGCACATTTTAGAGTGACCTTTTATTGTCCCCAGCACAAGGTGCACCTGTGTAATGATCATTCTGTTTAGTCAGCTTAATCTTGATATGCCACACCTTTCAAGTGGATGGATTATCTTGGCAAAGGAGAAATGCTCACTAACAGGGATGTAAACAAATTTGTGCACAAACTTTTAGAGAAATAAGCTTTTTGTGCTTATGGAAAATTCCGGGGATCTTTTATTTCAGCTCATGAAACATGGGACCAACACCTTACATGTTGCATTTATATTTTTGTTCAGTGTATATCTCTACCTACCGGTACATTCAATTAGACTCCTGCTAACCCCTCCCCCCCCCACTACTATTCCAAACAGTGTGCATATGACCATGTGCTTGTGATGTGTTTATTAGTCATTCTCTCCTATCTCTGCCATAGCCACCTCAGCAGGTTCAGGTGATAAATGTCACTGAGCTTCATGCCCCAGATTCCTGGCTGACCTAAAAGCGAGGGTGATTGTTCCTCAGTTCTTGCCTTTGGAAACCGACCCCTTCACTCTTATTATAGATCTAAAGATGCTGCTGAACTGGTTCAAACTAGGACTTGCCACCAGCCCTACCTGGAGACCCACTGGAAAACACTCTGCAGCCACACTTTGGAACTCTCTTTCTTATTGGTCTATTAACTAGAAACACCAGGCGGGCCAAAACTCCATCCCACAAAAACACGCTGAAATTTCAGGCGGTCTTTTCAAACAGCTCTTACACTAAAAGGGCATTATCATCATTTCCACAATTTCAGTGTTGTTCCAACCTCATAGTGTGGAAAGATATATATATATAACAAAGGAAAATCGTGTTTTTGACTGCACTGGGCCTTTAAGATAACCTTAAGGGGTTTGAGCCACAAGATAATAATATCACCTTTATAAGTGGCTTTATATTTGTGAACCAATATGGCTGACCTTGAAATCCATGCCCGACAGAGAGTGTGTCATATAAGCTTTGCTCTCACAATATAAATAATTCCTAAATGTTTGTCTAGAGGCCCTCTAAATGGCTTTATGCTTGAACGTCTACCATATATTTTCAGAATGATACCTTGATTTATGATGGAATGGCTTCCACTGTAGCTCAGTTGGTAGAGCATGGCACTTGCAACGCCAGGGTTGTGGGGTTGATTCCCACGGGGGCCAGGATGAAAAATGTATGCACTCACTAACTGTAAGTCGCTCTGGATAAGAACATCTGCTAAATGACTAAAATGTAAATGTATTGTTCAGACTCAAGGGAGATGTGCCACCTGTTGCCAGTTCCTCTTCATTCTCTACCATACTAAATGTACAGATATGGCTGAGCAAATACCCTCTGAGAATTCTCACTGTCAGTTTACCGCTCAATGAGAGCGCCATTAATTGTGTTGAAGTTTCTAAACGCTTTTGCTATGACTACTCAGGCGGTGTCTAAGCAGGTGTGCTCACGTCAGCGGTTATTTTCTCTCAGCCTCTTGGCAGAATGTGTGGAATAGCATGATATTAGCTATACAACTGCACACTTTTCTCTTTGCCCCATGGCAACATGTACATAATTGTAGGAAGTTAACAGCTAAGGGGCCCTTGCTCAGACCTTGCCGGGGGGAGGGGGGGGGGGGACTGTAACATTGGAAAGTAGTCAATGAAACATGAAATTATAATGCCTGGTTATGCACAACAGGTGGGAGAAGAGTAGAAGTGTGTACATGACGGTCGGGGTACCTCACCTGGGTTGTCAGTGGTTGGAATGGGTTTGTTTTAAGTGGTTATAAGAAACCTGAATAGTGTACTGCAAGTTTGAATGTTCCACGTGAACACACCAACACACTATCACAGATTATTGTGAAATAGACACAAATTACTTATTTAAAATGTGTGACAGGCACACGAAACAAGCACACTTTTTTGTGTGTATTACACTATTTTCTTCTAAACACATTTCGATTTTCATTCTTCATAACATATTTTTGTACATTACACAAATTCCAATTTGCTGTGGCTAATATTAGCTAGGTTAGCTAAGTGGCTAATGTTAGCTAAACTAGGGGTAAGGTTAGGGGTTAGGTTTAGGGGTTATGGTTAGGGGTTAAGGTTAGGGTTAGGTAACATGCTAGCTAAGTAGTAAAAGGGTTAGTTTAGGGTGAGGGTTAGCTAACATGCTAGCTAAGTAGCTAAAATGCTAAAGTTGTCCATGATGTGATTCTAACACGCAACGTTTGCGTTGATAGAAGGTTGCATTATATGCCCACCCATCCTCCCCGACCAACCTCTGGCCTATCATTTCTGTCTTAAGTAACCTACTCTCTTTATCTGTGATTGGAATGCACTGAATACAAAGTTGTGTACTGAACACGAAGAAAAAAAAAAATCCAATAAGCATTTTGTGTCTATTTCACAATAATCCGTGATACTAGGTTGGAACACACTGTGCATGACAAGTGAACAGCAACTAGGTTGTGTACTGGTGGTTTGAGTTTGATCCCAGTATGTTCAATAGACCTCACTATTATGAGCTCACTGACAATAAGTGTCCTCAGAAAAGAGCATGTGCCAAAATACAAATTAAATCTGCTCTTAGAAAAAAGGTGCTATTTAGAACCTAAAAGGGTTCTTTGGCTGTCCCCATAGGAGAACCCTTTGAATAACCCTTTTTGGATTCAGGTAGAACCTTTTGGGGTTCTGTGAAGAGCCCTTTCCAAAGAGGGTTCTACGTGGAACCCAAAAGGGTTCTACCTGGAACCAAAAAGGGTTCTACGAGGGCAGCCGAATAACCCTTTTGGAACCGTTTTTTCTAAGTGTGTTGTGTCAGGGATCACAGGTTCCTCTCCCCAGGACTCTCTTTGAAGCACCTCAGACTCATTCACTTATCTCTCTCTCTCTCTCTCTCGTCAGATGTACATCCAGACAGCCACGCTGACCGTCTCCCTTAGCCTGAGCGCCTGCGTCTCTCTGGGGATGCTCTACATGCCCAAGGTCTACATCATCATCTTCCACCCGGAGCAGAATGTCCCCAAGCGCAACCGCAGCTTCAAGGCCATCGTCACCATCGCCACCATGACCAGCAAGCTGTCCCAGCTGGCCTCCGAGCGACCCAACGGAGAGGTGCAGACCGAAATCTGCGAGGGCATGGATGCCAGCAGTGAGTATAAAGACGTGATCCCCTCACTTCGCAACACTGCCCCCGTTTTCTGTGAGGGCATGGATGCCAGCAGTGAGTATAAAGACGTGATCCCCTCACTTCGCAACACTGCCCCCGTTTTCTGCGAGGGCATGGATGCCAGCAGTGAGTATAAAGACGTGATCCCCTCACTTCGCAACACTGCCCCCGTTTTTTTCACCAATATGTTTATTTTTGTGCGGAGTATACAGTGAGGGAAAAAGGTATTTGATCCCCTGCTGATTTTGTACGTTTGCCCACTGACAAAGACATGATCAGTCTATAATTTTAATGGTAGGTTTATTTGAACAGTGAGAGACAGAATAACAACAAAAAAATGTTATACATTAATTTGCATTTTAATGAGGGAAATAAGTATTTGACCCATATGCAAAACATGACTTAGTACTTGGTGGCAAAACCCTTGTTGGCAATCACAGAGGTCAGACGTTTATTGTAGTTGGCCACCAGGCTTGCACACATCTCTGGAGGGATTCTGTTCCACTCCTCTTTGCAGATCTTCTCCAAGTCATTAAGGTTTCGAGGCTGACGTTTGGCAACTCGAACCTTCAGCTCCCTCCACAGATTTTCTATGGGATTAAGGTCTGGAGACTGGCTAGGCCACTCCAGGACCTTAATGTGCTTCTTCTTGAGCCACTCCTTTGTTGCCTTGGCCGTTTGTTTTGGGTCATTGTCATGCTGGAATATCCATCCACGACCCATTTTCAATGCCCTGGCTGAGGGAAGGAGGTTCTCACCCAAGATTTGACGGTACATGGCCCCGTCCATTTGTCCCTTTGATGCGGTGAAGTTGTCCTGTCCCCTTAGCAGAAAAACACCCCCAAAGCATAATGTTTCCACCTCCATGTTTGACGGTGGGGTGGTGTTCTTGGGGTCATAGGTAGCATTCCTCCTCCTCCAAACACGGCGAGTTGAGTTGATGCCAAAGAGCTCGATTTAGGTCTCATCTGACCAAAACACTTTCACCCAGTTCTCCTCTGAATCATTCAGATGTTCATTGGCAAACTTCAGACGGCCCTGTATATGTACTTTCTTGAGCAGGGGGACCTTGCGGGCGCTGCAGGATTTCAGTCCTTCACGGCGTAGTGTGTTACCAATTGTTTTCTTGGTGACTATGGTCCCAGCTGCCTTGAGATCATTGACAAGATCCTCCCGTGTAGTTCTGGCCTGATTCCTCACCATTCTCATGATCATTGCAACTCCACGAGGTGAGGTCTTGCATGGAGCCCCAGGCCGAGGGAGATTGACAGTCTTTTGTGTTTCTTCCATTTGCGAATAATCGCACCAACTGTTGTCACCTTCTCACCAAGCTGCTTGGCGATTGTCTTGTAGCCCATTCCAGCCTTGTGTAGGTCTACAATCTTGTCCCTGACATCATTGGAGAGCTCTTTGGTCTTGGCCATGGTGGAGAGTTTGGAATCTGATTGATTGATTGCTTCTGTAGACAGGTGTCTTTTATACAGGTAACAAGCTGAGATTAGGAGCACTCCCTTTAAGAGTGTGCTCCTAATCTCAGTTCGTTACCTGTATAAAAGACACCTGGGAGCCAGAAATCTTTCTGATTGAGAGGGGATCAAATCCTTATTTCCCTCATTAAAATGCAAATCAATTTATAACATTTTTGACATGCTTTTTCTGGATTTTGTTGTTGTTATTAGGTCTCTCACTGTTCAAATAAACCTACCATTAAAATTATAGACTGATCATTCCGTTTTCAGTGGGCAAACGTACAAAATCAGCAGGGGATCAAATACTTTTTTCCCTCACTGTAGCATATGATAGGTACAACCACAGGCAACAGGTAAAAGGCTTTCTACATACAGTAAAATAAACCACAGTTACTCAGCTATAGCTACAGTATCTGAAATATTGTTGTTGAAATCAGCTTGTTGAATATAATTTGAGAACAGATTATGCATAACTGTTCATCGCTCAGATTTAGACTTCAAAGCCATTTCAGATTCCGTTAGCAGAAGTTTCATACAGGCAAGCATCCTGCTGTTTACTTATCATGATTGTGCTGACTGCACAGTTTGATCTCTAAAACTTTATTTAATTTCATATCTCATCAGTTTCTCATTTCACTGAACCTCTAAGCTGCTTTCTAATTTGTTGCCTTTTTCCCTAATTATGGAGAATTTCTCAAATAAATACATGAATACATTTCAAAATGTAACTTCATTGTGAGTGATTAGTCCACATAGCCAACTGTACTAGTTTAGGTTGATGGTAGAAAGCCATAGTATCCTCAACATTTCATCAAGACTGTCCAGTTATGGGGTAATGCATTGAGGGAAGGACTGAAACAATACATTGAGTACAGAGGGAATCACTACACTCCAGGAAACTAACATATTCTCTATTCTTTGCCTTTACAGTGCCATCATCCAAAACAACGTATGTCAGCTACACCAATCATGCCATCTGAAGAAAGAAGCACTGAATAGAGGATTACTGAGGAATTCCACTTGCAGACTTGGATGTGTCAGATTCACACATGACAGGGCGTTCCAACAAGCATGAGACATTGATATTGCTCAGAGTCCAAATGACGACTGAGAGCGTGGCAGTCAACATAAATATGCCTGCTCTTTCATGTTCACAGACAGAGCTAATGGGCCTGCTAGAAGCGGACAAAACAAAATGAATGGTCACTAAACAATTTTAGATCATTTAAATAGAAATTGTTGGGATCAACCATGTTAGTTAGTTAGTTATTCTAATTATACGTATTTTGTGGTTGTAAAGATTTCTCATTCTTGTCTCATGTCGTCTGAACTGCATTACGAGATGAGTTTGTCTCTGTGTCGGCTAACTGAATTGTAGCCTTGAGTTGTGAAATCTGTTAATGCCATGGTTTAAGCATGCACATTTTTATACAAATACTTTATTTATAATAAAGGAATGTTTTGAAAATGTTTAGGATTGTTGGATGAGGTTAAATATGAGAGTCGGATATGATTTATGTAGTTTACCTCAATTTAGATGGAAGTGATACTCAATGCGTCATCAATAAGGCATAACAGTTATGTGGTTGCCTTGACCTGAATTGGGCACACACCAAAAATATACCAGGATGGTAAGTAGGCAAATTATATTAAGAATGTAGGAAGTCTTAAAGCGAACTATGAAAAATATCTAGAGCACCCAAAAACCCCATGCTCTCAAAGGAAAACAAACAACATTGCTGTAGGTTTCCTATGAGACAAACTGTATAAAGTTGTGGCAAAAGTATTTCATGAGTTTTCCTGTGAACATAATGCAATTGTTTAGTTTTAACATTTTACTAACTGCGCAACATCACCAAAACTTGAGAAAAAAAATTGGGGATGGACTGACTTTTAAAGCTTTTTCTTAGTAATGATGCTGATATTATAAAGATCCCCATATGGTACACAAAGCAAATACACTGAACAAACATATACAGTATATGCAACAATTTCTAAGATTTTACTGAGTTACAGTTCATATAAGGAAATCAGTCAATTGAAATACATTCATAGGCCCTAATCTATGGATTTCACATGACTGGGAATACAGATATGCATCTGTTGGTTACAGATACCTTTTTTTTTTATGTAGGGATGTGGATCAGAAAACCAGTAAGTATATGATGTGACCACCATTTGCCTCATGCAGCGCGACACATCTCCTTCTCATAAAGTTGATCAGGCTGTTGATTGTGGCCTGTGGAATGTTGTCCCACTCCTCTTCAATGGCTGTGCAAAGTTGCTGGATTTGTTGGGAACTGGAGCATGCTGTCGTACATACCACCAAGGGGCACTCTGTTCACAACCATGACGTCAGCAAACCGCTCGCCCACACGACACCATACACGCTGTATGCCATCTGCCCTGTACAGTTTAAACCGGGACTCATCCGTGAAGAGCACATTTCTCCAGCGTGCCAGTGGCCATCGAAAGTGAGCAATTACCCACTGAAGTCGGTTAAGACGCCGAACTGCAGTCAGGTCAAAACCCTGGTGAGGACGACGGGCACGCAGATGAGCTTCCCTGAGAAGGTTTCTGACAGTTTGAGCAAAAATTATTTGGTTGTGCAAACCCACAGTTTGATCAGCTGTCCGGGTGGCTGGTCTCAAATGATCCCGCAGGTGAAGAAGCTGGATGTGGAGGTCCTGGGCTCGTGTTGTTACACGTGGTCTGCGGTTGTGAGGCTGGTCAGACATACTGCCAAATTCTCTAAAACGACGTTGGAGGCGGCTTATGGTAGAGAAATTAACATTCAATTCTCTGGCAACAGCATTCAATTCAAAACTTAAGACATCTGTGGCATTGTGTTGTGTGACAAAACTGCACATTTTAGAGTGGCATGTTATTGTCCCCAACACAAGGTGCACCTGTGTAATGATCATGATGTTTAAACAGCTTCTTCTTGATATGCCACACCTGTCAGGTTGATGGATTATCTTGGCAAAGGAGAAATTATCACTAACAGGGATGTAAACAGAGAAACGTGCTTTTTGTGCTTATGGAAAATGTCTGGGATCTTTTATTTCAGCACATGAAACATGGGACCAACACTTTACATGTTGCGTTTATATTGTTGTTCAGTGTACACTTTTTTTGCACTCATTTGTGCTATCTTGAACAGGGTAACAACATAATGGAACAAAAACGATGAGAGAGAAGGAAATCCAAAACAAACAAAAGTAGAAAATGTTGCAATGCACTAATGCTACAAGGATAGTTTGGATCTTTAAGAGACTTTCCTACCAAGCCACTAAATTTGATAAGTAATAATTTGATTGAATGCGATTCTGACACACCTAAAATAATGTCTACGGCAAAACCAAAAAATCCCTGCACAGTACAGTATGTGAAAACCAGTTAAGGGAATCAATACAGCCATTGGTACAGGCGAAGCAGGATCAATACAAGCTACAAGTGAAAACTCCTGAACCATGTAATGAATATTTCTGCATTTTCAACTGAACTGATGAATCCGTAGGCATTCGATGCATACTTTTCCTTGGTTGATGATCTAATTCAAACATAAATCCTCAGTATCTTTAACGTATCTTTATCATATACCCATACATTGTGGGTATTATTAAAATATTATCATATTTGCTAGTAACTGTTTGCATTAACCACAAATGATCTCTCTACATTCGTTCCATATGACTAAATGTTCCTAAATTGTGATGTACAGTATATTGACAGAGTGGTCACAGGAGATACAGGTGACTGCCAAAACAATGGAAACACTTGAGTAAATGAGGGATACAACGTATATATTGAAAGCAGGTGTTTCAACATAGGTGTGGTTCCTGTGTTAATTACTCAATTAACATCCCATCATGCTTAGGGTCATGTATAAAAAAAATGCTGGGCAGGCCATTACTTTGGCCATTATTTTGGCTACCATGGCTTTGTCCCTGTAGGATTACAATGCCCCCATCTACAGGGCACAAGTGATCAATAAATGGTTTGATGAGCATGAAAATGATGTAAACCATATGCCATAGCCGTCTCGGTCCCCAGATCACAACCCAATTGAACACTTTGTAGAGATTCTGGAGCGGCGCCTGAGACAGCGTTTATTATCACCATCAACAAAACACCAAATGATGGAATTTCTCGTGGAAGAATTGTGTCGCATCCCTCCAATAGAGTTTCAGACACTTGCAGAATGTATGCCAAGGTGCATTGAAACTGTTCTGGCTCGTGGTGGCCCAATGCCCTATTAAGAGACTTTTAAGGGACGTTATATTGGTGATTCCTTTATTTACGCAGTTACCTGTAGATTGGAATATCACATTAACTAAATATGTCAACTTCTGTCTCACTTTTTTCTTTCAAAGAGTTTTGACCCTGGCAGCAATGGGCATGTCTCACACTTTAACGTTTACTGGTTATGATGATGGTTGTCCTTGGACACACACTGTTCTTCAGCTCAATAGTTGCTATATTATTTTATACATTTCAGATTTATTAGAGTTTTGGCTGACTTACGACAGCCAAGCAGTCCCCAGTATCATCAATGCTAATGATAGTAATAATAATAATAGTCCCGGCATATTGATCTTTTTGCACACTATTCCTCAGGGAGACTTTGAAGTACACTATATATACACAAAAGTTAGTGGATTTCAAATTAGTGGATTTGCTGTTATTATGAAGTGGAAACGTCTAGGAGCAACAACGGCTCAGCCGCGAAGTGGTAGGCCACACAAGCTCACAAAATGGAACCGCTGAGTGCTGAAGCGCGTAGCGCATAAAAATCATCTGTCCTCGGTTGCAACACTCACTACCAAGTTCCAAACTGCCTCTGGAAGCAACGGCAGCACAAGAACTGTTCATCGGGAGCTTCATGAAATGGGTTGAGCTTCATTAAATGGGTTTCCATGGCCAAGCAGCCACACACAAGCCTAAGATCACAATGCGCAATGCCAAGCGTCAGCTAGAGAGGTGTAAAGCTCGCCGCCATTGGACTCTGGAGCAGTGGAAATGCTTTCTCTGGAGTGATGAATCATGCTTCACCATCTAGCAGCCCAACGGACGAATCTGGGTTTGGCGGATGCCAGGAGGACGCTACCTGCCCGAATGCATAGTGCCAATTGTAAAGTTTGGTGGAGGAGGAATAATGGTCTGCCGTGCACAATAATGGTCCCCCATGCACAAAGCGAGGTTCATACAGAAATTGTTTGTCGAGATCGGTATGGAAGAACTTGACTGGCCTGCACAGAACCCTGACCTCAATCCCATCTAAAACCTTTGGGATGAATTGGAATGCAGACTGCGAGCCAGGCATAATCGGCCAACATCAGTGCCTGACAAACACTAATGCTCTTGTCACTGAATGGAAGCAAGTCCCCACAGCAATGTTCCAACATCTAGTGGAAAGCCTTCCCAGAAGAGTGGAGGCTGTTATAGCAGCAAAGCGTGGACCAACTCCATATTAATGCCCATGATTTTGGAATGAGATGTTCGACAAGCAGGTGTCCACAAACCTTTGGTCATGTAGTGTATGTGGAAGCAACTCCACATATAGACCACCCCCTAATTTGTCTTACCTGTGGTGATCTTTTATACCAGTGACAAAAACGAATAAGGAGTTATGCCTACAGTAAGATAGGGGGCCACTTAACAGTGCAGTGTTTGGATTAATCTTCTTGTCCCTCTCTTTACCTTTAGTGAGCTCTTTTATTGAGTAAGACAGAGGATCCTGCACAATAAGCTTAATTGGCTGTTTGACAGACACACTGGAGGTATCCTGCTACTATGCACTTCCTTCATGCTCCTGTATGGGTGGCCAATCAGCCAATTATCCACTGAGAGCTTACAATATTCTAATGACACTGTGTGTCACTCTTGGGAGTAGGGAGATCTGAATGAATAGAGATCAATTAGACATGCAATATGCTTTGGCAGTCCAACTTTTTTCAACCTTTCCTAAAAACAGGCATTTCCTCCCTGAAATATTTCATAAATTGCATCCATTTTCAAGCGCATTTTATCCAGTAAAACCACCCCTCTCAACTGTTATATAATTATAATTTG